ATGAAATAGTATGATTTCGGTACATTCTTAATTTTTGTAGACTTAGTTTGGTTAAATATTGAGTCCAATAAAGTCATGATTTATGGACATATTATGAAACTTTAATACTATATGCTTATAAATATTAGGGTATTTGCCCCACCTGGATATACAGTAAATAATACTTTTTCTGTCTTAAATGCAAAAGCTAACTAGGGGGTTAGTTTTGATGTAAAATGTAAGGTCTTAGTTAAATTTAAGTTATAGTATACATTTAGTACTCTAAAAACCTGTCTATTGCCGCTCTATCTTATCTGGAAAGTGTGAAATACACTCCCCTGTTGGTTAAAGCAGACTCCAATGCCTATTCTGATGGGGGGATCACCCTCCTCTATCCGTTCAAGATTCCTAATTTGACTTAATGCCCTCTTTCCCAACCTTTCCTACGGCATCCATTTCATCAAGGAAGGACAGAGGAGGTTAAGTAAGGATAAGGACTTTGGCCGGGACCCTCTTGACTAAGCTTCTTTTGTCTCAAAAACACGTTTTTTTTCGATTTGCTTGTCTTTTCTTTGGGGAAAGCCAAAAGAGTCCCGTCCTTCACGAGTCCTAGAAAGAGTTTTTACCAAATAATAGTAATTTTATTATATTATATAATTTTTAAAAATAATTAACTTTTTGAGGTAGGCAATAATTTTGACCATATATATAGTAATTAGAGAAGAAATATATCGTATAAGATAAAAGATGAAAGAAATGAGTTTCAATAGTTATCATTTTAATGAGCACTTAAACTCATTAAATCTTATCATCTATATCTCATTTGAAAGATTTTTTTTTTTTTTATTTGTTCAAACAATTAATTTAATATTTTAGAATCTAAAACAGTGATAATTTTTTTTAACTATTATTTTTTTAGAAAATAATTAATTAAAAATTTTAAATCTAAACTACTCAAATATTCAAATAAGATAACTACCTCTGATCCTAATATAAAGACCCTATTTGACTTTTATTTTGGTCCTAAATATATACCCCAATCTATTTTATTTCTCATGTTTACTTAGTTTTTTCCAAGATAGTCCTTCTAATAATTATAATTCTAGTTAATACACTTGATTAGTAAGGATATTTTAGAAAAGACAACACTTATTTAAGACAAATAACTAACTCAACTTACTTGTTTAATTTTCTCAAATTAGTTATGGAGGTAGTATAAGTGGAACTGGTTCATATTTATTTGAGGTATCCCTCCGCTGTCCTATACGTGAATTCCTCGAACATATGCAACCCAAGCTAAGCCGCAACCATGGCGGAAGACAAGACGCTTCACATAGTCATTTTCCCATGGTTGGCCTTTGGCCACATCATTCCCAACCTTGAGCTCGCCAAGCTCATAGCTGAGAAGGGTCACCTTGTCAGCTTCGTTTCTACCCCAAGGAACATCGATCGCCTTCCAAACTACCTCCTCACTTGGCTCCTCTCATCAAACTCGTCAAGCTTCCCCTACCCAAAGTCCACGACCTTCCTAATAAGGCTGAGGCCACCACCGATATTCCGTACAACATGGTGACGTTTCTCAAGAAAGCCTACGATGAACTCCAACAACCCATGGCCCTGTTTCTTGAATCTTCCAAACCCGATTGGATCTTTCACGACTTCGCTCCCTACTGGGTCGGATCCATTGCTTCCAAACTGGGCATCATGTCTGCCTTCTTCCCCATATTTCCGTCGCCGGTTATGGCTTTCCTGGGACCTCCTTCGGATTTGATGAGTTCCGACCCTATGAGGAAAAACCCGAGAGCTTCACAGTTCCGCCACCGTGGATCCCATTCCCCACCACCGTAGCGTTTCGTTACTTTGAGATCATGAGGATATTCGCAGACAGTTTCTCCGTCGGGAACCGGGATGTTTCAGATGCATACCGTATCGGCGCGTCTGTCCAAAACTCCGACATAGTAATAGTAAGAAGTTGCTACGAATTTGAACCCAAATGGATTCAGGTCCTCAAAAACCTTTATCAGAAACCAGTTCTAGCCGTTGGCCAACTTCCCAGCACGGCCTATGACGGTGGGAACGAAAACGACGCATGGCGGTGGATGAAAGATTGGCTGGACAAGCAAAACAGAGGCACAGTGGTCTACGTGGCATTCGGAAGCGAAGCGAAGCCCAGCCAAGAAGAAGTGAGGGAGATAGCTCTAGGTGTAGAGAAGTCGGAGCTACCATTTTTCTGGGTGCTGAGGACTCAACGTGGGCCGTACGACCCGGAGATTTTGCGGCTGCCGGAAGGTTTCGAGGAACGGACGCATGGTCGCGGCGTGGTGTGCACAGGTTGGGCGCCGCAGCTGAAGATATTGGGCCACGAGTCCGTCGGTGGGTTCTTAACTCATTCTGGTTGGACGTCGGTGGTGGAGGCGATCCAGAATGAGAAGCCGCTTGTGCTTCTGACGTTTTTGACAGACCAGGGACTGAACGCGAGGGTGTTGGAGGAGAAGAAGATGGGATACTCGATACCAAGAGATGAGCGAGACGGGTCTTTCAAGAGTGAGTCGGTGGCTGAGTCGCTGAGGCTGGTTATGGTGAAAGAAGAAGGAAGGATCTACCGGGAAAAGATAAGAGAGATGAAGGACTCGTTTGTGAATAGAGAAAGACAGGAAGAGTATGTGGATGATTTAATAAAGCACCTCAGAAACTACAGAAATGCTAAGCTTGAAGATGGAGGTTGTAGGAGATATTAAACTGCGTTTAGTGAGTTTATGGGAGTGTTATTCACCTTACGCCCTAGGATTGCTTATCACGAGTTGTTTGTTATGGTTTTTCTTCGTCTTATTCTTGTTATTATTTACCCTGAATCTTATTTACAGAGATGATTAAGCTGTATCATTATATATTATCTTTGATTATTAATCATTTATGTAAGGTGAGAATAAGAGCGGTTAAAGCCGATAAATGAGTTGGATTGACTTATGAGACTGAAATTGATGAATGAGTTGATTTACTTCTTGGGTGTCCTTTATTTTGTCGTACATGCACAGAGGAAAATATGGGGGAGAGCTCTGTTCTCTCCGTTCGAGGATGAAAGCTTTGTTTTTATTTTGATGGCTGATGGCTCACGCTTTCTTCCCGCCCAGATTCGTACGATTTTATTAGTGCTCCGGTTTTAAATTAAAATTTATAATTAAATTACAAAATAAATCTTATATTTAGAATTAAAAATATTAATTAAGATTACTTTAAAAATTATATCATTTTCTGTTCTAATTATAAAATCTTTTTATAATCTTTAAATAAGATTTTATAATTAAAATCGGATGGTAGTAGTTGATAAATAAAATGTTCAAATGTCCGAAACATTGATGTTATGGTTTTTTTCTTTTTTTGGAAAGTTGGATGATATTGACATAACGTCCTAAATTGTCCGGAACAAAATCAACTTGAACATGCTATATGAAATTATGAATAAATTCAGGATAAATACAATATTTGGTCTATTAAATTAGTATATTTTACTCATTTTAGTTTGAAATCATAGGTTTTAATTCTTCAAGTTTTTTTTAAATATTAGTTTAATAAAAATTAAATTATTTTATCTTTTTAATGGATCAAAAATTATAATTTAAAATTTGATAGACTACAAACTTGAGTAACTAAATCATAATTTAACATATAAGTTATCAGAAGCGCACGAAAAGGGGGTCCGACTGGTTGGGTAGTTCCGCGAGGCGTAGATTTTTTTTTTTGTTAAATATATATTTAGTCCTTTAACTTTATAAAAAATTTTAATTTAGTCTCTTAACTTTAAAAAGTATACTTTTAACCTTTTAACTCTTAAATTGTTAACAAAAATGATGATATTGTGATATTAAATTTTGACAAAACATTCTCAAATACTAATATATAAAATTTAATTTTCAAAACGATCTACAAAAAATCATCATTTAAACTTAACAGTTTTAGGATTAAAGAACCAAATATATCGTTTTTAAATTTAAAGTTAAAGGATCAAATTGAAACTTAATGTGAAATAAAAAGACTAAATGTGTATTTTAGTTTTTTTTTTCCCAATTTTTTGGTCAAACGAGGCATCAAAGTCGGTATAGGAACTCCGAAAGACGCTTGCAAGGATGAGGGGCCCACAACCATGAACCCCGCTAAGCTCCCAAGCCTAAGTAGTGGTGCCCAACGATCCTCTTATCTCTTCCAGTCTGCTCGTTTTTTTTTTATTGCTTTAAAATTTTTATTTTTTTTCCCCAACGGAAAAGATGATTATTCCGTTTAGTAGAATAGCCAGGGGCTCAAGCACCATCGCCAGCACCTCTTTAATAACAAGGAAGAATTGTAAATATGAGTATTACAGACACAAGGACAAGAATTGAGAAAATGATGTAAGCGAGCCCACCTAAATGGATTTTCTGTCAAGTAGACAAAGAAGGGCTGGATTATCTATTTCCTTTAAATGCAGTTTACTGAAACACGAGTAGTGCTTTCAATAACACTGCGAATCATTCAGCAGGCGCAGGTGCGAGACCACTTCGTCCGGTGTCATCAGTGAAGACGATCATTTAGGAAAGAAACGCCACTGGGCTTGACAGATGATGCAAGCATGGCTTATGATCTCATTCTCAAGAGAACTCAGCACATGTGCGAGACAACTTCGTCTCTTAAAACTGGCATCAAATGCCATAGTAGATGTGCACAATACAGCAACTTCTAATGACGACTGGTAGTATAGCCTCGCCTAGCAAGGATAACTTTCATGTCGTTACCTTGAATCTTAAAACATGAAATCAACATTGAAGGAGGCGGTGCTACATGCACCACTTAAACTTGTACAGAACCACGTGAACAGTGCAAGCAAATGCATCAAAATTGTGCCACTACCATTGCACTGATGTTGAAAACTTGAAATAATTACAGAGCAACCTTGTAGAGAATTTGTGCATGTTACAGGAGAAATACTTCGAGGAACAAATCCTCGAGATACTTGACTGAAGCATTGTGGGATGATATACAAAAAATGAACTGGTGCAAAAGCTGTTGTACAGTAAGGGCCAAAAACGAAGTATGAAAGAGAGCCCAAGTTGAGGGCCTCCATGGATTTGTGCGCCCAGATCAACTTACTATAACGCAAGCTATTTACCACTGGGTGAAGTCAGTCTGCTTTCCTCTGACTCGTGCTTTGAAGATGAATCCCCACCCATTAACTCCTGGAAGGCTTCCACCTTCACTGGTGGCGCTCTAACCATGGTCATGTTCCTACAGGCAAACGGTAAAATAACACAACTCTTAAACATAAGATCACTTAAATATTAACCAAATGACAGAAATCCTTCAGCACAACTGCACGAGTTTTCTTACGGTGACTGCATTGAGGGAATCTGCGGGGAACCCATTTGTCTGAACTGATTGTTAGCTTGGGAATGGAAACTTGACAGTGCAGCCAATTGCTGCTGCCTGAACTGCATTTGAGGATGTCTGGCATTAATGGCATTGTAGGTGTTGGTATCCATCGGTAAGTCCGATGGGGCCTCAAGCTTAACTTGAACCAGTGGCCTGTCCTTATCCATATCCACAACAGGGCGGGGGGTAGGTGCTTGGCGCCTTCGCATTCTCTCTAGCTGCTGTTGTTGTTGCTGTTGTTGGAAAGCCACATTATTTGAATGAATAATCTGCTGCATCTGCGGATGCATCAGTCTTGGCATCTGTACATGAACAACAACCGATAAGTTATTATACATGTCAGATCATGTTTGCAGAGAAGAATATCTTGATAAGTATATAGAAATATATGGTAATGTATAATGCAATGTGTGTTGAGTGCACAATTAAGTAAAAAACTCAGGTCCAGAAAGGATCCAGAAACCCATTTTAAATCAGTACAAATTCTCCTTCAAAGGATGCAATAAATGCAGATTTTGAATTTAACTAGTTAACTAATTTGAGTAGATTAAGAAAATTAATTACGTTAGTTATTTGTAATAACTTTTGTTTCCTAAATTATCTTTGCTAATCATATGTATTAGTTAGAATTACCATTTGATGAAATTTTTAACATGTGCAACTATTGTAAGGACTACTAAAAAAAAAAAAAAGATAAATATGAGAGACAAAGTAGATTGGATTCTTATATTTAGGACCAAATTGAATGTCAAACTAACTGTTATATTATAGACTTGAGATAGCATATTTCTTAATAGGATATACCAAAATTTAAAAACTCAGGAAGGTTATTATGTGATATCTCCCTCATAGACACTAGGGGATACTGCTTGCTCGATAAATTATTGACACCTGCAACTTAAGGCAAATCATTTTTCGAAAGGATGCTAATAATCCTGGAAAACAATTTATAATAAGGGAGAAAAACAAAAACATGTTGGCAAGGGTAGTTATTTTTGAAAAGGGCACTCGTTAAAGCACCCTATATCAGCATGTGCTTTTCTTGGATGTGTCCACATTTCTGTCCATACTTCAAAACAAGTACATTAAGGACAAAAAATTGAATGTAGATGTAGATGCAAGTACTTGCTGAGGTATTCGAAGAGCACTCTGCTGCTGTGGCTGCACTTGTGACTGGATACCATGATTTTGTGGTAGACTTTGCTGCAGCATATTCTTGGAGCCAGCCTTCACGAGGTCCACCAATGGCTCAAAGTTACTAACAGAAAGTAGGAGAAAATGTTAAAATCATAACATACTAATCCTGTCTTGATTTATAAATACTAATCGGGGTGAAACATCACAAATAAGAGCTTGCAACAACCAATCGCACATGTATAAAGGGCATCAAGATACCCTTTAGAAATTTTATCCTCTTTAGAATCTTTTTTCTTCTTCTTTATTTTCAAGGGTGGCATAAATCCTACAATTTGCCATGGGAAAGTGTACAGAGTAATAGTTTCTGTCATATGCTCCTCTACTTCTCAAACCATAATTTACTCATTGTGTTTCTTATATAACATGTTTTAACAGAATAATAGCACATCTTACTCGCAAAAAAATATTTTGGCCACACACCAATTGCCTGCGGAATATATTCAAGAAAGGAATGATCTAAATATACAAATATGCAAGAGTAAATTGTCCACATCATTTTTATGAAGTTACTACATGAATGTTGGATAATGTAGATTGCAGGTGAAAACTTGGGATATAAAACTTAATTTCATAAACATTAAGACCATGCAGAAAAAATCCGTCTTCATCTTTTTCTTTTTCTTTTTTTTTTTTTTGGGGTGGGGGGGTCAATAAGTTGAACTTTCCACAGAAAAAACAAAAAAAACAAAAGTAAAATACCTATAACCAGATGTTTTAAGCAACATCTTCAGAAGTTCAATGGCTGAACACTGCTTTCTGTAATTATCAGTAAGCACTCTCAAAGTTTTGCCTAACTTACTGATATGACAGCTCATTAATTGAGAGAAGACTTCTATAGGACCTTCCATGGCAGCCTCAAACCCAAAACCAGTCAACATACGTGCTACAACCTTTTGAGACATTGTTGACACTTGCTCATGACCAAAAAGTTTCCTGTTTCCTTCAGGGCCAGTTTTCCCCCGGGACAAGCTTCCTCCATGTTCCATGTTTAGGTACTCTGGCCTAATACCAAGCCTCTCAATCATAACAGGACTCCTAGTTGTAATAGAAGGTAAGGTATCTAGAACACTAATTAACTTGACTTTCTGGTTATTTTCCACCCTGATAATAGATGGCAATGCACTTTCAGGTACACAATTCAATGCAAACATTATTTCTGGAAAAAAGGATGAATCATCGACAACAGAATTGCCACCATTAGGCTGCATGTTAGATGCATGCTCCATACTTGAATTCACAAAGCCCATGTTCTGATCTTCCTTAAATGCCGCACGCATTTTCTTATGATTGTTAGCGAATAAAAGATAAGAGGCCATCTCCTCTGCTGAACGTTTCTGTGATTCCCTATCCCCAAAGATCAACCTATGTGGTTTGTTAGCCTTGTAATTCTCAATGAACTGGTTATACCAGGTTTCAGGCAGCTCATCATTCCTGTATCTCTGGGACAAGCTATCAAGCTCGGAATCAACATACCTTGACCCAATTGTAGAACCTGATTTTGATTGATTCTGCATAAACAGGCACTTATGTTGGATGAGGAAAGATCACGTAATATAACAATGTACTATACTAGTTTGGTCACTCATCATAACGTATAACTCCGACTAATCTTGCTGATTACCTATAAATGCAATAAAGTTAAATAATAGAGTAGAAGAAGGATTGAGCTAATTCCTGGAAGCAATATTGCTAGTTGCTACATTACTTTCCTCTATCAAATTACAAAATAATTTTATTCTCTTCCCAAAGGATAAGCATGCATGATCCAATACGTAGTACAAAGCTTTGTTTAATTAAAATAACAAAACAAACCGCCACCTTGCATTGTGCTCTAGCTGTTATCAGACATTTTCTGAAAGCAGCACCTGGATTCGAGAACCACATGGTTGGAACTAATTAATATACAAGTTCACCCAACCAGAATACTTAAGTGGGAAAGCCTCTAGATATAAAATTGGAATTATATGCTAACGTTATCAATTGCACTACCTAAAATATTGATCATAGTCGATATCATAGGAAGATTCTACACTGAGCATAACACGAACTTCCATTGACCTGGTTTCGTAATGAGGGTAAAGAATAAAATTACAATTTAGGAAACAAGGCAGTGACAACCTTAGACGAAGCTCCTCCGTCTCGATGCTGAACCCCATCTTGCAATGGATTCTCCAGAGTGAAGTAGACGTCATCACCGTGCAACTGCAAATCTGCAGGAATGTACAGCGTCTAAGGGCCCAATTGAAAAAACAATCGCCAAAAATAAATACTTTTTGCCCCAGAGAGAGACTTACAAGCAGGAGTAAGGTCTGAAACAGGTGAAGATTGAGAGGTTGAGGACGAATTAGTGGAACGGAAGAAGAGGGAAGCAGTGGCTTTGTCGAACAAAAGGGCACGGACCCTGAGTTGGAGTTGAATCTGAGCCCTAGATTTAGAGTCGTCGGGTCTGATGAAGGAATCCCAAGTGGAGGGAGAAGCGAGGAACTGAACAAAGTTAGCGTAGGTGGAGTCGCCAAGCCAAGTCCGCCATACCCCACAAGATTCGAGTTTGCGCGCGAGCTCGTATCCGCGGCCATCGTCGCCCAGTAAGGCCATTCTCACGTCAACAAAGAAAGACGACCCAACCTGTCCAGAGGATTAACAAGTCAGTGAACGAAAGTGTGGTGCGGTCAACACCAGTAGTTACTTTCAGATCAAAAAAAAAAAAAACACCAGTAGTACTGCTCTCTCTCTCTCTCTCTCTCTCTCTCTCTCTCTCTCTCTCTCTCTCTCTCTCTCTCTCTCTCTCTCTCTCTCTCTCTCTCTCTCTCTCTCTCTCTCTGGTGACACCGTTTTTCTCGATGTAGCCTAGGGCTACTCAAGGCCGGCCCATCCCGATCCATTCTGGTCCGGTCTTACTGGGACGGGACAGATCCATCCCAAAATTTTTCGAGACGGGATCGTCTTATTCCAGTCCCTTTTTTTTTATCCTATTTATATAATATTATTTTTTCATATTTTTTTTAGATTTGAGAATATTGTATGGAACTATGGATATATTTATTTAGAGTTTTTATATTTGTTAATGATTTGAAATTATTGATGATTAGAATTTTTAGCAAATTTTTATTGTGTTAAAAGCTTTTGTTTAAAGTTTTTAATGATTATTATATGTAATATTTTGAGCTTTTGTTTAAGAGTGCCCAAAAAAATAAAAAATAAAATAAAAAGATGTTTTTATAAGGTTTAAACCCAAAAAAATATAGTTAAAAAATCAGATTTTTTTAAAAAAAAATTAAAAAAAAACTTCGGGACGTCCCGGATCCATCCCGTCCCTACTGGGACCAGGACACGAGACAGATTTTCTGTCCCGTTACTGTTCACCGGGACTGGTATGTCCCAGTCCTGATCCGTCTTGTGAACAGCCCTAAATTAAAGTTGGTGTGCATTGATATTTGGGACAATGACAAAAAAAATAAAATTTTATAAATACTAAATAAAGAATGTCAACAAAAACTTGTTATTATTTGTAAATTCAGACTTGTCAACACCAAATAAAATTATATTACCAAACCTGATTTGAGATTTATAATTTCTAACTTTTTTTTGTCATTCTCCCTTGATATTTCACAAAAATTAAAAAAATTAAATTTTATTAACCTAGAACCAAAAAAAAAAAAGAGATCTTATTAACTGTTTACTTTTCAGGTTTATTTCTATTTAATATATGTTATTTAAACAAAATAAATACTAGTGTACAGTCTGCACAATGATAAAATCAGAATACAATAATAAGTTCATGCAAGAAATTTAATAACATAACTTGTAAATAAAATTTAAAAAAAAACATTACCCTCACTTGTAATTTGCAAATAGAATTGGAGGAGTGATGCTATTGTAACTTATTCGTTGAGAGATCATTTTTCTACTAATTAATATTGGCATCCCGTTCCCATTGCCTTACACAGTTTCACTTGTATGTTGAAGAAGAGAATTATTTATCACTCATCACTAATTTAATTTATTTAATATACTCCACGGTCCCTAGTATAAAAGTGAATTAGGAGTTAGATTTAATTTTAAATATAAGATCTTAATTCACTTTATTTATTATATTTATCATTTTTCAGCAAACTAATTTATTTAACTTATAAATTGATATATAATCTAATATTATCCATAGGTATTTTAAAAAGATCACGCCGTACTTATTATAATTAACTAGTCTATTTAATTTTTATAATTTATTCAAATTATTACTTCCAATCATTAATATAATATCTCATTTATAATTTAAAATAGACCTGTTACGGATCAAAGATGGTAGTTAAATAGCTGAGTAAAGAGAGAATAGATATCAATTCCATTAACGATTAGTGTTTTTGGACCAAGAACAGTGAATTATTTGAATCAAGAATCAGTGATGGTTGAGGATTCTGTCATGAAAATGTTGGAAAATTGAGTTGGTCCCCTTGCCTATGCTAGTTTATATGTGGACTATTGCAACGGATTTGGTTCAACTGTGATGTGGAGGTTCTGTTAGGCTTTCAAGAAGTTTACTCGTTTTTAAGGCTATCGCTCCCTTCAGCCCTTATTTGAGTGGTTGATTCTATTTGAACAATTGTTAATAAAATAATTATAAAAAAATTGTAAATAAGGACCCTAATATGTAAAATTACGATTTGAGACCCTGAATTTGAAAAATAGGAAATAAGGACTGGATCCTACTTTTGCAAGTATGAAATATGGATGAAATGTCTGAAATCCCCCTCAACCAAATTGTGATCTGGTCTACTGAAGTTGTCATTCGCTAAAGTGAATTTGTCATTTCCTATAGTCAACTCGTTATTTGACATACTCTCACCCAAATTGTGATTTCGTCTACTAAAGTTATCATTCACTAAAGTGAACTTGTCATTTCTCATAATCAACTTGTCATTTAGCTGAGAGCATTCCAAAAATTTCACCATGATTTTATATTTGCAAAAGTAAAATCGGGTCATTCTTTGTTATTTTTCAAATTGAGAGTTTCAAATCACAATTTTATATATTGGGGTCTTTATTTGTAGTTTTTTCTAAAATTATTCGATTGAAATTTATCTTTTTGGAATTAGTTATGAATTAGCTATAAAGAAATTAATTTTGATAGGAAGGTTGTTAATAGAGTTTTATTTTCATACAAGTAATTGATAAACTTCTGAACAATAGTTGTCAATTTGCTATATTAAAACTGACAATTATTATCATGTGGTTGTTAAATAAACAATTCTTCTAATGACTGGGTAATTACAAGTCACAGCTTCAGCATACCAAATTCACAATTACAACATTCAAAATTTGATCCAATAATTTGGATGATGAGTGAAGAGGAAGTAGATAAGAAAAGAAATAGAAAGAGAACCAAGTCCTTGACTGTAAGTTCTTGGATTTTTCAAAGAAGATATTAGGCATAATTGAGAGAGCACTTAGAAGCATTTTTAAACACCTTTTATGTAAACTTTTTACACATACATATCTCATATTTTATAAATCACAGTTAAAAAATAATTTATAAACTATTCTAAATAGATCCGGTATATACTTTAGACGAATCACAAAATATACGTGTGTGGTTTTTTTTATACTGAAAGAAATATTGTTTGTTTGGTAGGATTCAAAGGTATGGATGAGGGCATTCTCTTCTGGTTTAGGTTCAACAATGAACCGTTGATTGTTTGATTTTTGGCGCGAGGTTTGCGGGTGGTGTTTCCCACAGTGGGGACCTCATTCACCTCCCTTCAACCCCACAAACATGTATCCAACTCAATTACCTAAAAACAAACAGCCTCCTAACTCACTATACACTGACACTGCAATGCAGAACCATGCATCTGCATTTATCATTGACCAACACGTTTATTTGTGATTCCATCAACTGTCAAAATCTCTTATTTTGACGTATTTTAAAGCCACCAATCTCTTGTACAGCCAGGAAACCCCCCCCCCCCCCAAAAAAAAGCCTTTTCTTATGCGCATTTTAAGCCAGGAATCTCTTGTACAGCAGAGACGGGCTTTAAAATGAATTAAAAAGAGTAGGACTTTGGTTGTACATTTCAGAGCCATTTTTTTCTTTCTGCAGTGAATTAGAGGTACAGTACAAGGAACCTTTGCCTGTTCTTCCTCTATCTTCTCAAAGCTTTTATAATTATTAACACGTGGAGGGAGCCCAGCTTCAGAGTGTACAACATGATGTTGCTGGGCAACACTACAAACACAAAAGGGTTGATGATTATGTTAACAAATCCAGGCAGCGGTGTCTGAAATTGAAACACCACTTCCACAGTAAAGATCATCTTAGGACTTTTGGTTAATGAATGAGTAGTAACATTTCCTCCTTATCTTCTTTGTCTCTTTGCTTCAATTAATAAAAACAAATCCTCTTTCGATCTTCTTGCCGTCATGCTTGGGTCTCTTGCTGCATGCGCTCATTATTCTATAAACATCATCAGCCATGTTCCACCATGCTTGTTGAAGCAGGCGTATCGTGAATTTTCTACTCCATAATTGCATTTTTTTTTCCAGTCTCAAGTAATAATATCCCAAAGCGCCATAAACTAGAACGAATAATGCCATGGGATTCGCAAAAATAATAATAAAACCATTTCAAGCAGCAAACTTGCAATATTATTAAGCTGACCAAAGTTTTAAAATTATAATTAAAACTCCCTACAATACGGGGAACAAAACAAACTTAGTTTACGTTGTTTCGGCCGCCCCAAATCACTAAACCCACCGTCTGTAGCTTGTTACGCTTCGCGCGTTAGTTGCGGCAAAAGTGACGATCTCTTAAACTAAGTAAAGGCAAACATTTTATTATCATCAGCACTAGCACATGTTCATGTTTTGGTCCCAAGGAAAATAAAATGATAATAAAGGAGTTGCAGATTGTGAAACTAAACAAACATCATCAAGACACCAAAAACAATAAACAGAGAATAAATTAAATAAATGGATGAAGGAAAGCGGTAAAGTTAAAAAAAGGGAAGTCAGAAACGAAGTGAGGAGGCGTTATAAATATAGCAAACTAGCAAAGCATTAGAAGAAGTTAGGGGAGGTCCTGGTTTTGGCCTTGTCCCAAGAATAACCACCGCTCGAACATAATCCTATTTTTAAAGCCTTCTCGTCCCTTATCCATTACGAGTTCTCTCATCTGACTCTCTCTGTCTGTCTGTCTGTGTCTCTCAGACCGTCACCAATTTCAGAGAAGGCATCATTCAATTATCATATTGGTGATCGGTGATCCTTCTTGAAAATTGCAGGTCTGGGCACCACTTATTTTAACTTCGCAGGAATTCAGGATCCATAGCACTGTTTAAGGTTAGCTTGTTTTCCCCTGCTGCGATCTCCTACTTTCTGAGTGACTCTGTTTTGGAATCAAAACAATAAATGGATATCGATTTCAGTTGCTCTGTATTTGTTCGCTAGGTACCTTAGATGAACATATATGTTTTATGCAGATAATGTCCAAAATAATTAATTGAGGTTGTCTTACAAAACTATAAAGAAAATTCCTAAATGCAAAATGTCAACATTGTTCATGTCTCTTCTTCCTCTGTTTCACCTGTTTCTGTTCTAGAAAATGCTCTCACTTCCTCACATGCTCAGTTGTTTATGTAGATGTCCCTTGATGAAGTTCATAGCTTGAATATCTCTTTCCTGTTTTCCCTGATGTTTCATTTGGTTTTAATAAAAGAACCCGACTTTACATTGTCTCGTATTTCTTTGTTTGTAGTCTATATGCTATATCAATCTATAGATTTAGATTGGAATTTATTCTTAGTCACTGGTCGTTTCTCATGTTGGTTCTTTTATAGGTCATTTTAGAGTACGCTATTCAAAAGCATTGGAGGCGTTTTTGTAAGACCAAACCAGAAAATCTTCAAATGAAAAGACAAGCATTGTCATAACCTCTTCCTGTTTCGCTGATCGGAGTGGGAAGAGATTGGCTGTGTAATTAGAGAGAGAGAGGAGGCGGAGAGAGAGAATGGAGTCAAGAGGGAAAGGAGGAAGAGGAGAGGCGTGCGAGGAGGAGGAATCTCCGAGAGGCGTGCTGGAGATGATGGGGGAGGCAGATCGGGGGAGCAGCGGATGCAGCACGTGCTCGGGGGAGAAGGCAACGGGGACGGGGACGGGGGCAGGGGCGGGGGCGGAGAGGCCGCCGTCGGGGAGGGAGGGGCAGATGCCGCAGTGGAAGGGAGTGATGGACGCGTTGAGGATAAACTCAGTGAAGAGGCTGTCGGCGATACCGTTGTTCGCGTCGACGTACATGATATCTCGCAAGAGCCTCAGGAAGTTGGCGCGCATCAGAAGCGCAGAAGACGCCATAGATCTTGTTTCTTTGGCCACCAAATCCTCCTGGAAAACCTTCCATTACTCCGACCTTGCCGCTGCCACCGACGATTTCAGTCCTGGTATCACCTCCTCCTTTATTCCCCTCCCAACTCCCTGGGATATTTTTGACATCACGACTTTAACTTATTAATTTTTTATTTTAACAAATTAGTTTTTTTTTTCCAAAACATTAATTTATTATGCAAAAAGTTACAAACTTTATAATTTTCCCACCCTGGGAAATAAGCTGCGTGTGAATTTAAGCTGATAAGGAAGATTATTATCATGCATGGAACCCTCCAGGCCGAAAAGGGAACTCGAGCTTCAATTCTGCGGAACCCTCATCACATACGAACCCAATTTTTTGGTTTAAGTGATTTTAACATGTGGTGGGTAAATATATAAAAAGAAATTGAATGCCTCAATTGTACGGAACTAAGAAGATGGTTGGTTTGGACAGAGAACTTGATCGGGAAAGGCGGGCATGCGGAGGTGTACAAAGGACGCTTACCAGACGGGCAAATTGTGGCAGTAAAGAAGCTTGTGAACGAGGAAAAAGATGACGCAGATAACACTGGTGATTTCTTGACGGAGCTTGGAATCATCGCCCACATCAGCCATCCTAATGCTTGCCAATTGATTGGCTTCGGCATCGACAAGGGCCTCTTCTTTGTCCTTCACTATGCCGCTCATGGCAGCCTTTCCTCACTTCTCTTCGGTGCTTCTCTCTTCTCTCCTCTTCACAAAACCCACTCTTTTCACAATACATATTTATGTGTATATATTCTTTGCCATCCTCGTTTCAGGTTCCAAAAAGCTGGAGTGGAATGTTAGGTTCAAGGTAGCCATTGGAATTGCAGAGGGACTGCAGTATCTCCATCATGAATGCCCAAGACGAATCATTCACAGAGACATCAAGGCTTCCAACATTTTGCTTAATGAAAACTACGAACCTGAGGTACTTCTCTGTGGTTGCGTAGATCCTAACTACATTGTATTATGATTTGTCAACTTGTTATGAACATACATACTCAGCTTTCCTTTGTGTTATGAGCTGCAGATTTCAGATTTTGGATTGGCAAAGTGGCTCCCGGAGAAGTGGGACCACCATGTCGTGTTCCCCATAGAAGGCACATTTGGGTCAGTAATAATTCCAGCTTTATTTCATTTGGCGTTTCTTTTTAAGCACGTATCAATTCCTTTTTTCTAATGCGATGCAACTACACAGGTATCTAGCTCCAGAATATTTCATGCATGGACTCGTGGATGAAAAGACCGATGTGTTCGCTTATGGGGTTTTGTTACTGGAGATCATCACAGGTCGTATGGCTGTTGATTCTGACAGTAGGCAAAGTCTTGTGATTTGGGTAAGACATGACAACTTCAAATTCAAACAAAACTACGCTTAACTGCGTAGATTAAGACGAGACTGTGGTTGATGTTAGATGGTATTGAACTTGTGTTTTGTCGGTGTGTTGAAGGCAAGGACTCTACTGGATGCGAAAAACATGAAGGAATTAGCAGACCCTAGATTAGAAGATGATTACGATCCTATAGAAATGGAGCGTGCCATGGTTACTGCTTCCATGTGCGTACACCACTCAGCCGCCAAGCGTCCCCTCATGAATCGGGTAATTAAAACAAAGTTTATAAGCTTTTGTGTTTCACCACAGCCAAAACAACGCGAAAAGCTGACATGAAGGTTTGGAAAATTACAGGTAGTGCAGATGCTGAAGGGGGAGGAAGGACCCATTGAAGTAAAGCCACAAAAATCCTTGGCCCCAAGATCCCTCATGTTGGATGCCTGTGATCTTGAAGATTATACTTGCTCCAATTACTTGAATGATCTCAATCGTCACAGGCAACTAATCATGGAGTGATATATCCATTGACGCTTCTTGTTTTTGAGCTCATAATTTACTGCCCCACGGAGGCTTAAGCTGTACAATTTCCCTTTCTGGTCAGTGCAAAGTCACACAAGCTTGTATCTTTCTCAAAACTCGCAAAGTTGAGCAGTTGCCAAGTCTGGCAAAACTGAAGTCTGTAGACGCAGCAACAAACTAGGGTGACGCTTCAGCTCGAATAGTTGTTCCACAGGTAGAGTCTTCAGATTTGCGATATCACAGTTGTTCAACTTTTGAAAAGCATCAGATCGAAGGACCGGTCCCCCACCTCCTGTAATATTGTTATAGTTTGCTTCATGTATTAGGCTCAGGCCTCTCCTTTTACCCACCAAGATGAAGCAGTATAGCGGACTGCATTGAGGCCCTCTCAGGCTGAAATGCATTGTATAAATCTTTACATAAACAAGCATTTCTTCCTTTTTTCAATTTTTCTTTTTAACTCAGCAGTGCTATTTCAGCTCAAAAAAAAAAAACACTCAGCAGTGCTATTTCAGACGTTTTCTACCTCTTGCCATCTTTTATACCCCGGCCTAAATCATCTGAGAAAGCTTTGCACAAGGGACAATTAAGGCCAAGGCTCAATCCAGACTTAATCGAAGCTCGCAATGGACTAGGCCCATATAATATCCGTGTTAAGAGGGGATGTTGTTTCATAGAATTGGATCTGCATGTTAAGCAAATGTTATGTAAATATATAAAAATATTATAAGGAGATCATACCACAAGCATCAGCGAGTTAAGCATTCATGAGTACTTGTGCAACACTACAACTCAATTTTTCCCATCTTGGAGAAGTTACTTTACATAATCCAGCTTCCTACAGTAACTAAAACTCCTAGCCTTTTCAGGGGAAACACAAAAACCTCCTAACCTTTCTTTCTTCCAAGTAAAAAGATGAATTAGAGGGGGTCAGCTGAATTGTGCGAGAGACTATTATAGCTTTTGCTTTGTTAACAGAAAGCAGAAAATTAGCTGGAGATAAGATGACCACTCCTTGATCACAAGTCAGTATGACTGATGAGGAGGCCATATAAAGAACTCAGAAGGTGCAGGCAGGGCAGTAGGATAAGGAGTTACAGAAGGATTAGATACAGCAGATTCTGCAGCCCCGGCGTCAGAAGGGTGAAAATCGTTCAAGAGGTTGTGGTGATAGTATGCAGTAGCAGGATAAAATGGGATTGCACTAGGGACAGAGGAAACTGCCTGGATTGGTGAGAAGTTGATGCTGTTACTCATGTTGGTGCATTGGATTTGCTGGCTATTATTGTTCAGAGTCGCTTTCTGCTCGGATTCGAGCGAAAGCTTCAAGCGTTTCGCTGCCCCGCCAATGGGAAGAGAACTATTCATGATGGCCTCAACGTCATATCTACTCATCTCAAAGTTGGTCACAGCATTTGCACCCCTAAACTTTATGGCTGCAATATCATATGCCTCTGCCGCTTCCTCTTCAGTGGCTGTCATCAATGCGTAACAGATGATTAGGAACAGAACATCACACTCTAAACATTACTTTGTTGTTATAGCAGACAGCAGAAGCTGAAACTTTACCAAATGTTCCAAGGTACAGATCCTTGTTCCCTGCAACACGGCCAATCCTAGCTTGCCATCTACCTTGTTGGTGATGCCTACAGGATCAAAGGATGCCCCGTGTTAGTTTCAAAGGGGATACTAAACTCAATAGCAGAAACTGGGAAGCAACAGTAATTAATTGGATTGTTCATGTTTAAAATTCAAACCTCGTCACGCCCCTGTATATAGACGCTCCCCTAGAAAACCCGCTACTTTTTCTGCAAGAAAGTGAAACAGCAATTTTAACTCTCTGCACTAAAGGGCAAGTTTCTAATAGTTTAATAGGTTAACCCAGGCGAACCTTCGCAGTGAGGCAATAAACTCTTGCTTTGTTACATGCTTCATCTCCTCCATCTCCTTTGCATAACTGGAAACCTGGAAATATAGAGGCGAATTAGCTAAGCTATGCAAAATAAAAGCTTTCATTGTATAGAAGTAAAACTTATGACACACTAAAATGAACACTATGATACACATAGTTAGGCCAACGTATGAATCTAAAATTAGTTCGAAGAAATCTGTCATTATTGTAGATCTACGTAGGATTTCATGCACTCGCGTAGCTATCATAAGTCAGAACAGAATATTGGGAGATTCATACAGGGAAGTTGGTGGTAGCAGTGGGGCCCCAGTACTTTAGAGCTGCCAAATCATAAGCTCTCGCGGCCTTGTCTTCTTTGTCATATCCACCTGAATCACACCCAAAAAAAAAAAACAAATTAGAAAAAAAATTCGTAACAGAAATAGATTTAAAAGCAGTGTGGAATCAAAATGACTGCCAAACATTTCTTACCCAAATACACTGTAGGAAGAGTCAAAAAGACGAGTGACAGCAGGAAATGCACCGAGCCACGTTACATGAAAAAGGAAAAGCCAAAGAATATTTGATATGAGATGAAGGAATGGTCAAAATTTTCTGCCAAAAATTTACTTTAAGCAATCTAAAAACACAAATGGCTAAAAAGAAAAGTCATATGCATGCAAACGCAAAAATGGTGCATGCGCAGAAGTAACTTTCTTTTCCCTTCCTTTCTTTTCTTTTCCTTTCTCTCTATTTTCCACCTTTTTTAGCTACAGAAAGCGTAAACCACTGTACAAGTCGAGACCAGCGTACTTCACGCTCTCTTCTTAACGCAACAAGACAAATTAATAATTCCTCTACCCAACTGCACTAATTTCCCATTCAATTCGCATCCGAAAGGGCAAAAAAAAAAAATCCATTAAATTCAACAACACTAATTAATTAACTCCCAATAATTGATCCCACCTTTCGGATTTCGGAGGCGAGGCTTGACTTATTTTCAAGACATTAAAGTAACAACATTAAAAATTACAAACAATAAACAATTAAGATGATCTTACTTGATCACATAGTCAAAGACATGTCACGTCCGCATAAAATCGGCAGAAAAAAAGAACCGCCGAATTGCCAACACACATAACGCTTCATTTATTTATTTCCAATAAGAAAAGGGAGGGATTTTCCAATACTTTTAAAATGTCGTTAGCCAGTGGCAAACAAGATCTAAGAAATCCCGTGAGCATGTCGCAGAATCAATAGGACACTAATCAGAAGGGAGAGGACAGAGAGCCCACTTTGAAACAAGTTTTCACTCAACAGTGAACACACCATCCCTTGTTGTAAGTACACTATTCAATATTGGGTGGCGTGGTCAAACCCAGCCTTTAACTGGCCAATGAGAAAGCAAAAGCAAAAGTTAAAGCTCAACTCAGCAGAAATATCTATTACCCAAACAGTGTTTTAACTCTAACGTGCCTGTACGGCTGATGTGAGAGAGAGAGAGAGAGATTAATGTTCAAAGCCGGAGAACGCCAACCCACATACAGGCAAAATGGCGGCACATCGGATCAAATCAATCGCTTGAATGAAAATATTTGCAGGACAGCGAAATAAATAGTACCATCACTCTAGTACGTGTATATACCATCAGTGTCAATCATAAAAGACTGATGAGAAAGAAACCCAGGTGTCCTACTATTACATATTCTCAATCCCCGACCCATTTTCATTTAATATACCCTTTCACTTCAATGCATGCAAAGTCCTCTTCTTTTCAGTGGGTCTCAGCGCCCCTCGTTCTAACTTTTTTTAATTTCCTCTCGACCCATTTTATTATCAGAGAGAGGAGAGAGAGAGAGATTGCACCTTGACGCCCTTTCCTGGCCTGACCCTCTCTTCGACAGCTGTTATCCCAGAGATGCGCTTCATATCTACCCGTCCATCGGTGTCTGAATCCACACAGAAAGAAAATAAATTTTGTAAAGACATATGTGATAGCAGTCTCCATTTATGACTTTTGCCTGCTTTTAAAGTGTGTATACCGTAATCTAAGTAATGAGATGCTACAAAACAAATGAGAGTGAAATCAGAAAAACCAACTTGCGAGAACCACTTATTCCCAACACGCCAAAAGGCCTTTTTGCGGGAAAAGTGAAGGTCTCACAAGCAAAAACAAGGAATGAATGAAAGAATGACCGATACTTAACAACAAAAAGAACGGAAATTTACCAGAAAAATGCAGAAATCTTGAAATGGAATAGTACTATACCTGGTGACTCCTCTGTAAATCGAAGTTCTTTGGCCGAAAGTATCGGCCATCTTCTTGGAGCTATCGGAGTCCGGGACAATGGCTTTCTGATCGGCACACTGGGGGGTGACGCCGAGGGATAAAGTTCCCGTGGTGCCACTTGAGAAGGCCAGCTCATTCCCGGACGACTCAATCGAGTGAGCCGGGAACTCGCCACCGGCGGCCTGAGTTTTGCCGATGGAGGTCGAGTCATCCACTTCGGAGCCCGAGTTGGTTGAGAAAGCTTGGAACCCAGCGATGGCTTTCAGATCCTGCTGGTCGCCGAAGTAAGCCGAGCCCTGGTCGTATATATGGGTCAGGGTCGACGAATCCTGAGTATCCGTTTGGCTGTCAGAGTAACGCATAATAGACGACGAAGAATCACCCAGAAAATCCTCGAGTTTTGGCACTGGCTGGCCCTGATCCTGGGGTTCCATGAAACCTGGGGCAAATGATGATTCCACCATATTGTGTGCAGCTTCACTTTCTTTATTCTCGCTAAGCTCTCCTTGTGTGTAGAGAACCTGGGGCTTGGGGTTTGCCCATCCTGCAAACATTGGAAAGACAAAGCTTTTAGAACCAGTTTCTGAAGAACAAAGATGATATATTATGAACTCAGCTCATTAAGTGTGATTTGCAAGAAAATGGAGTGGCGATGAGTTAGTTTAGTTCGATTTCGATAACTGGATTCATCCATCCCTATTCGGGACCAGAGATGAAGCATTATTCCATCACCCAACTGCACCAACTGCGACCTCTGGTTCAGAGTAGTCAGCCACGATTGAGCTCATCATTAGAACTTTGGAAAACGGGACAAACAAATACAAGGAATGAGATTTTTTCTATTTCCGAGTAGAAATCGCCGTTCTCTGCTCAAAAACAAACAGAAGAATAGAAACCAGAAAGTCACAGAGATTTCTCTTACGTGAGTCAAAGAGATTTGCGTTCATTACTTCTCCCAGCGAGAGAGAAAAAAATACTGAACCCAAGAAAACCAAAACCATCGCGCACTCACAGTCACAGAGAGGCGCGCAACCAATAATCGACGAAGCTAGAACTGAATGCCAGTAATATATAAATATCAGAGTCGTTTGCAAATGGCGTTACCGTTGGTATAGAAGTTATCGACCAAGTAGTGAGGAGCAGCAGAAGCACCATCGTATTGAAGATACTGCGAGTTGGTAGACCTCAGCATTTCCATGGGCGACAACGAAAACGATAGCCAGTTAGTAGCCCGAGCCATTGTCTGCTTTGAACTCTTTCACTGAACCTCTCAGCGACGACGACCTCGCAGTTCTCAACCTGAACAGCACACACAGATCGCCCCGTTTAAAATAAGCAGATAACTCTCAGGAAAAGACAGATAAGCTATAATCTGTACACAATAAAAGCTCGAAACTGAAATCACCTGCAGACTTGAGCGTTACCAAAAGCCAGTCAACGGTAAAAAAACAACGAGTAAACAGAACAGTATTTCTGCGGCTGGCAGGGAGGAGGCTAGCTAGGAACCAGGACAGTTTCTGGTGCCGTAGGGATTAAAGGAAGGGGGCTAGTACACATTTAGCGGGCAGAGTAAATTTATATGGAAGAAAAGTTTCCAGAAGCAAGATGCATGCAGTCTGAGATGAGAGTTATCATCAATGTACTATGAATATGATCGTTGACAGTCACGGAGAGAGAAGGATGAGAGAATCTAGGGGAAGAGAAGACGAAGGAAAGTGCAAACTTAGAGAGAGAGAGAAAAGGGGGAGCAGGTGTTGAGTTATAATGGGAGAGGAGAGCGGTTTCAGGTGCCAACCGGCGTAAAACCAGAGCGATGAGTTTTGGTCAAGAAAGAGGGACACACGGAGACCAATATGGGAAAATAAAATTCAGATTGAAATTAAAAATACATAAATGTTTTTTTTAAAAAAAAATGGATAGAAGCGACTTTGGGTCTGGGGGGAAGAAAAATTGTGTGAAACAGGGTCGCGAAAGATCCGGGCTGGCGGAAAATTGAAGAATTTGTTAGGGCTCGTTCCTCTTGTAGGGAAATTTACCGAAGTGCCCTCGCTGCTCTCTGGATTTAAATACTGTGTAATATAATAATATTATTATTTTGCAGTTTTTCACACACCTGGCTTACATGCACATTTCTTTCGTTACGGTCCGCATCGGTGGGGTCCGGCTTGAAGGGATCCGCTGATCCAATTTGTCCCACCCTGAACCGCCACTATGAATCCAAACTAGGAGTAAGATTGAATATTTATAATTATAAAATCATAAATTTAAAACTAATGTCTTACGAATTGAAATTTTAGGTCAAATGTTTTGATGTCCTTAGCTTGTGATGATGCATCAGTTTCTTTAATTTGCATTTCCGTTTATAATTTCATTTTTTAATAGAATTTCTTTTCAAAAAATCATATGTCAAATTTTTTGTCTATTCGTTTATTGTTTTTAAAACAATAGTAGACTTAACATTTTCAATGAAACATAGTAAAAAAGTTATTGGAGAGAGTAATTAACTATATAAAAAATTGTCACTGACATTCTGATTAGCTTGGAATAATAAACTGCACAACAGCAGCAGAAATTGGGGGCTATTGTCCGCATTTTACCATTTACCCCTTCTTTTCAAATGAGTGTTTGCTTATCTGGCGGCTATTTTGTCAATGGACAATATTTGCGTGAATGCTTTGATAATATAGGAAATTAAATGGGAATTTTCAAGCTGCACGGGCTTAAAACAGATCACGTTATTTATGATCATAAATAAAATGACTTCCTACATACTAATCTTTCGGTCTTAAATATAAGACTTTATACAAGTCTTATATTTAGGATTGAGGAGTATCTCAAATCCTTAATACTCTATAAAAATCAAAAAACTAAGTTAGAAAAATTAAAAAAAATTATAAAATTAGTTATTTGTCACTATGTATGTTAACCTGTCTAAACTATTTTTCTAATAATGAGCATTAGAACAACCATTTTGTATGGACCTCTTACAATCAATAAGAATATTTTGGACAAAAAATAGGAGACAAAATATGTTGATATTTTATATTTAAAACCAAATCTAATTTTTAACTGACTTCTATATTATAGAAGTAAAAGAGGTGTTTTATATATTGTATATAGATAGTTGTTCAGTTGTTTTTAATAAAAAAAATCACCTAGTGCCTTATTAGTTGCATATTTTTGTTTTGAATGTTGACATCGTGCACGCTTTTTTTTTTTTCCATAAATTGTCATCGTTTGCATGATGTGGTCGGAACTCAGAAGTTCAAGAAATTGTTGGCTTATTTTGAAAATTAACTTGAATTGTAGATACTATTCACACCACATATAAATAATTGCTGGGTTTTTCTATAATTATTAGTTTTTCCCATAAGAACTGATCGGGGTTAAATTAAAACTTAATTATAGCCGTCCTTAACTTAATTAGAGGTAATTCTTTCAACATATTTTTATTTTAAATTCACGATAGTCAGACGACGCTCAATTTTATTGAAGGGGAATTAAATACCTTCCTTTCAAACCAATTACTGCTGATTAAATTATTACAGTAGTTCCTCTTTTTTTTTTAATCTTCTGAAAAAAAATATCCTCACCACAAGCACTCGAGACGGTAAACTCTTATCAGTTTTAAATTTCCATTTAGTATTAAACAGGTGCCTGAAATTTCGCTGATTTTTTTTTTTTTTATGTGTGATGGTACGTATGTGCTCACTTTTTTTGAATGACAATTTTGGCTTTATATAAAGAAAAAGATAGTACTCTTTTTGAAGCGACCAACAATCAATTTAATCGCTGAATCAATGAACAAACAATTTGAATATAATCCACGGATGCCTTCAAGTACTACTAGTAGTAGCAGTAATAATAGTAATAAAAAAAATCATATAATTCGGTACTAATCACCAATCAGCTGAGAGTTGACTAAGTAAGTCACGAGATCAGTCAAGTGTTCATGAACACAAATAATTAATTATAGGTAATTTCGAATCCATTTTAGTTTGTATTTATGAACACCCTTTAAAGGTTAAGATTTTACGTAAACGAACGCCTAATCATATATAAGTCTTCGCTCCCACTAGTTCCAATAACGTGGTACTTTTCTAGTCCACAATATAAATTTTTTGTATTTTAATTTCATTTAAAAATGTAAGTCCATCTTTATAATAATAAGATCAATTAATATTTCTTCTTCTATTTTAATTTGTTCTCTCATACAAATAAATTTGCATCAATTAATTCATAATATTTTATGCAGTAAACATGAAACGGGGCATGTTTGGAAAACTATTCAAATTCTTTTTCACATTAAATGTCCTGATTGTCCTTTATTTAATATTTTTATCTGCACGGTGAAACAAAATTTATATTGTGCCTGTTTGGAATCATGTAAAAACATATTTCATGTAAGTTGAAATAAAAATTTTTTTTATATACTTATCTGGTATTCCATTAATTACTATTAAAAAATTACTTATAGGCTGTTTTAAATAGATCTATAATAGACTAGAGGAGTATATATAAAAATGTGCTTCTTAAATTCTATTTATGAGCAACTTGTTGTTGGTCACAATAATAATTAAAAGATAAAATGATGCATTTATGTTTTAAGAAAATTTAATAGTGAGTTATAAATGGGACGAAAAAACTCTCTCAGGCTTATACTAATACTCGTATGGAGTATTCGAGGTGTAATGCGTGTGCATATCATATACCACTCTTTCATTTATTGTTGGTTAAAGAGGATTCGAGGTGAATGCACCACTCTTTCATTTATTGCTGGTCAAATTATGTTTTATTGGAACTGAGTTTCATACTATTAATGTTTTTGTCAATTAGTTTCTTATCACTAATGGCTGATTTAACTGGGCATCTGATTGAGAATATTAATTTTAATGAAAGATAAAATTGGAAAATTATAATTCTTTATAATTTTTTATTTTATTTAAAAGGCAGTTATTTTAAAATAAAACACTATACAAGGCCATACTTTATTTATCCATGAAAAAATTGAATGGAAGGTAAGCACATTGCTGGAGGTGAGGTGTTTAAGATATGCTTATGAACTATTACATTTAATCCTTAATATAAAAATTTATTTAACTTTTATTTTAGTTCTAAATATAAGATATAGATGTACTTTATCTCTCTTATTTATTCATTTTTTTTCAAAGTAGTCATTGTAATAATAATAGTTCTAACCAATACATCTGATTACTAAGAATATTTTATGAACGATAATCTTTATTTATTACAAATAACTAATTTAACTAATTTTTTAATTTAACCAAATTAATCAATTAATTTTTATATTAAGAACTGGAAGTTGTATAAAACAAATAAGATTTTGAATAAAAATAAAAAATACATTTAGTAATCGGGTGACAAATTAACTTTGTTAATTCTTAGTTAAGAGTTTTTTTTTTTTCCGGCCAATCTTTCTTAATTAAGAGTTAAGAAAAGGATTATAGGCCCCATCTTGTGTTGGGGTGTGTGTAGGGCAGGGGAGCGTGAAAAGGGGAAGCCATAAGACAGGCGCGGCGTGGGGTGGCCTATGTGGTGCTTTTTAGGTTGAAATTATTTTTTTAATTTAAAAACGTAACCAAGATCACCCCCCCCAAAAAAAAAAACCTTTTTTTAAATTCTGGCAAAAAATTACTAGTATGCAAACATGTTGAAAAATTTTAGCTTTATATTACATGGTGATGTTAAGTTATATTGATTTAAAACATTTTACATGATTTTGAAAATGGCAAGTACCGAGTGTCATTACTTTCTAGTACTCAAAAATGTATTTAAATTCTTACTTATGTATAAAGAAATATTGAAATAATTCAAAATTACATGAAACCCACGGATCATCGTTAATTATTTTTCCTCCTACTACATTTTTATATTTTATCCGCGTTGGTATTAATTCAACCGCTTGATATAAATAATGCGACTTCATGAATTATAATTATAATTAATTTAGGTAATTTAATAGTTAAGTTTTAAAAGTGGAGAATGAGGGAAACACTAGCGGGGGGAAGGGTGGCGATGAATACGCATTATCCTCTGCGATTGGTTCCACCTCTACACCTACACGCTCTTCCCTTCCAACTATCCCTATCCCTATTCTCTTTCTCTACATATAAATAGACACTTTTGGATATTTGTTTTTTAAATATATTTGTTTTTTAAATATATCTTCTTTTCACAAGAAAAATAGATATTTGTTTGTAACCTCAGCGATAAAGTTTTTAATTTTAATTGAGTATTAATTGTTCATTGTTATCGAGTTTAGTTTGACCATCGAAGTCCTAGCCAACCGCATGATTCTTTTTAGTTATTAGTCCCTCTATCTTCTTCTGTTTTATTAATAGCCTTGTAATCTTCATAGTAATTATTAGAAAATCTTAAAAAGAGAAAAAAAGAAAGAAGCCAAAGAGACAACGCTTGGTTTCTATCAACACTTCATTGCATATAGGTAGCCGCCTAAATACAGTAGTAATTGTTTATGATTAGAATAAAATCGAATTCAAAGTATCCTTGCCTGTCCATTGGAATCTTTCTGATAAACTGAAGATAATAAATTAATCGCAACACATCACTTCATGAAACACTCACCCATATACAGGGGAGAAATAACGGGATATGAACTCGTTTTATTGATTTATGAACTTGACAATTTTTAATTTCCCCATGTATTTTATACTCCCTCCGTTCTTTATTATAAGAGACATTTGATGCTTA